AGAAGAAATGCTCTCGGATGGAATATCTATACTATCTATACTAATATTATAAAGAGGAAAGATTTGTATTTTTTGTATGTAAGTATGTTTGTTAAACTCAAAAACTACTGGACGGATTTCGATAATTCTTTCACCATTAGTATGCTACATTTTCCCGGAGTAACATAGACTATATTTTTTATATCCCAAAATGTTTAAAATTAACACGAAAACGAAGCATTGTCTTAAAATCACTGTATGTTAAATTTATTGTACATACTTAATTAACACCATGTTTAACATTATCTTTTTAATTACTAGAAGAATGCTATGCTATGCTATTTAGGAAATGAGTTTAATAGAAACCGTTGTTATTATTATCTTAATACTGTCGTGTCAAGTTCATATTAAGGCTCATGTGACCAATGCTAATTACTTATTCTTTTAAATTGTAAATTATATTGAAAAAAGTTCAGGCAGAGAACGTATTAAGGAACAAACCAACAGATATAAAAACCTTTTAAAATCTCAAGAGTTGTCATGTCGCTTCTTTAAGAACATCCTGTAGACTGCTGCTGCTTCTGAAGTGGCCTGAAGAATGTAGGTACCTAGAGGAGAGGCACGGAATGAGAAAGAAAATCTCTGTGTACACCATTTATTAAGACTGCTTCTTAAAACTGTTAAAAATTCAGATTCAATAGGTACTAGTTTAATATTAGAACTAGAGATAAAGAGGGAGATAACAAATGGTATTGTTTTTGCTTTATACATGGGTCATCACAAAGCACGACAACAGCCGGGGTTCATTTGTCATCCTTTCATACGTTTCCATTATATTAATTAGCAAATATGTATCATTCGTTCTTCAACAACTAGTGTTACCCGAAATGAGTCGAGGCTGGACACCAACTAGTAAGCATCCCGGGTGTGTGAGTTATACTATCCAGTATGTGTCAATCGAAGTGCATGTAAGACTCCATACAAACTTACAAGGTACACTTCGAAGGAACCACAGCTTAAACGAGTATGGTATATTACTCAGAAATTTACAAATCATTGAACAAATGTGCTTGTACGAGTTGTCATGTGGTACCTGACCTCGTCGTATCCTGGTCTTCTGTACGTTCAGCACGGGTTCTCTGGAACTACCTGAAAATCCAAAATAAAATTAGAATGATATTTAAAATAGAAGTAAAAGGTCTAACATGTGTGTGGTGTTGATGATTATCCAGATAATCGTTATGTAAAACACAATTAGAAACAGATTGTGAGAACAGCAAAGATGTGTTAGAATGAGAGAGAGAGAGAGAGCGGAGACAATCCCGACAAACTTGTAAATGATTTACGCTATTATATCGAAGAGTGTCGTTTGACTAAAGAACATCGTCTCTGTAGTGACATTATCAACAAGCTACATAATATGGGAATAATTCAGTAACTTACCAATCATTTCCAGGTGATTGCATCCTTTCATTTGTCTTTAGGTGGCCGAGCTGTTACGCCTTCAGTGTGTTGT